AACTGAACCTTCTCATTGTATAATCATATAGATTAATTAGTTAATTCAAATACTGATGGGAGGAAGAGACAGTTTGTCAGCATGAGCCCAGATGTGATTCCTCGACACTGAAAGTAGTCACAGGGTGGTTAGAATTTGATCCACTTATTATTAATTCAAATTTAATGTTTATTCTTTTTTTTTCCCCCAAATCCCTTTCCTTTTAAGGATTGAATGTCTGCACTTTTGGAGTCAAGGTCTTTTAAGAGTAATAAAATGATGAAAAAGATCAGTATGAGAAAGAGAGGTACATTAGACTCATATACATTTCTATGTATTCTTCAGTCTTTAATTCCTTGTATTTAAAATGGACACATCACAAACTAATTTTCTCCACAGCTGTTGGTTCTGAGAAGCAAAGTGGACAAAAAGCCTTTAAAAAAAGTAACTCTTCTGCTACTTTGAATGGCTCGCAGATTAGGCAATAGCTTGTTATGCCTATTTTAATCAGGAATTGTACTCAATAGAATTCAATATGCTGTCATCCAGAACATAATCTAGATCATGCAATATTCTGGACAACTCAGCTAATGAACCAATGAATTACAACTTGCTTACAGATAATAGTTTTCTGCATTACTCAGTGGACCACACATTTCTCTTCTTTAGAATACATGGCAAAAGCAGGGGTGAAATCTACTTACCTTCCTTACCAATTCAGAAGCGCACATGCTATGCATGCGCACTCACTTTGCTCACTCACGCACACGCATCACAGGCGTGCGCAGACCTGCATATGCGCAAAACCTTCTGCGTATGCGCAAAAGGTAAAAAACACATTACTTCCTGGTTACAACCAGGAAGTAATGACACCTGGCCAGGTGGGCGGAGCTATGCTCCACCGTCGCTACCGGATCGCCGAACCACCAGCCAAGATCGCTACCGGATCAGGCGATCCGGTCCGATCCGGGAGCATTTCACCCCTGGGCAAAAGACTGCTTAACTTTAGTCTCTGAAAAAGCTTAGACTTTCCAGATATTTAGATTACAGTTCCCAATCCCTTGCCATTGGATATACTGAAATGATTGGGAGATATAAAACCCAATATCTGGAAAGCACCAAGTTGTCTACCGTGCTGAAAGACATTGTTATGTGTGCTAGGGGATGCTATAGGTTAGTAATACCTTTTGGAGCACTGAAATTTATATAGCGTAATTTTGAAAGTGCTATAGCTGTTAGGAAGAGTTCAATCAGCAATCTCAGCAAATTCTTCAGAAAGAATAACTGTGTTTGGGCCTGTGTGTGTTGCTTCAATTCTTCTTAGATATACAATAGTGTCACAATACAATACATGTTGTGCTATTTCTATTAAGGGGAGGGAAGTCTTTCAAAAGAAGAAAATAAGATATGATCAGCAGTTCCAGTTTACCAAACCTTCACAGTGTTTCTCACAGAAATAGCTCAGGATTAAGAATCATTTTAAGAATAAATTCTGTGAAAGATTTGACGCATAAAAATTGATTGTTCTTACAACTCAAGAACAAGAATTCTCTAATCAAACTGAGACATTGAGGTACCCATTATAAATATTATAAACATTATAAATACAGTAAATAAAAGCTGCCAGATTGAAATATGGCTTTTCTTAGACAATGTTTAAATCTTACAAACGTCCTATGCTCTGAAAAGGAACAAGGTAATGTATCATGTATAATTTATATTAGTAGAAAGATATGAGTTTTAAGATTCCTCTTAATCACAAAAGAATATGACAACCCAGTAGACAATAGCCGTCCCTTTACAGAAGGAATTCCAGGAAAACATATCATGATCTCTTTCCCTTAGCTGCTATAAAACCTCAGTCTTCTTTTAAGGAACTTTCTCAGAAAGAAAAAATATAAGTGTCTCCAGAAGGTAGGTGAACAAGAAAATATCCTTTGAAATAGACCTAAAACAAACAAGCAGGCTACCCATTTGATTATTTGTTGCAGTCCTCAACCATTTCCAATTGAAAGTGGTAGATCAATAATACAAATTAGGGAATTGTTGTACATAAACAGATGGAGTCTTTAGTTGTTTTCTCCTAGTCCACTCAATAACCACCATACCGATCCTATCAGAAACAGAACTGACTTCTAATAAGAAGTCTGTAAACTGATTTTTCTCACTTTCTCTTATCTCTAGTCTTAAATTCAGATGTACTTTTTCTCCAGCAGGTTTCGATGTTTACATTAAAATGTTTAAACTTAACTGTATCTATTTTTCCTGATATTCTTATAATTATTCAATCTCTATTATATAGATTTAAGCTAAATAGTTTGAAATAGATCTATACTAGTCTCCCTTTATTTCTTTATCAGTGAAATATAAATTTGGTATAAAATGGTTTGTCGTGAATGTGACTGCTTGAGGGCTCCTGGATTGGAGCTGAAAGGCGAAAGGGATGCAGTATGCTCCCTCTCACATGCTGGAATAGACCAGGTGTCTCGATAGAAAAACACTTAATCTCTTCCCTGGCTCAAACTGATGAAGGGAGGAGAACTTGTGGCTCAGAGGTTAATACAACTGCCTAACATGCAGCCAGCCCAAGCTCGAATCCAAGTAAGGGTATGGCTAGCTGATGAGAGCTAAATAGCTTGAAATAGATCTATACTAGTCTCCCTTTATTTCTTTATCAGCCAAATATAAATTTGGTATAAAATGGTTTGTCATGAATGTGACTGCTTGAGGGCTCCTGGATTGGAGCTGAAAGGCGAAAGGGATGCAGTATCTCCCACAGACCAAGTGTCTCGATAGAAACACACACACACACACATTTTGTGTATCTGTGTTCTCAAATTTTCGTGGGTGTGTGTATGTAAAAAGTTAAAATCTCAGGTGTTTCCCCACGTCATTAAAAGTCTGTTAGTTAAAATGCTTAAAATCCTGGCTAAAATCCCAGTTTAAAATCCTCCAAAATCCCAACAAAACACTTTGTAAGGTCTTTTGAAACTCTGGCTAAAATCCTAACCAACAGTGTAAAAGTTTTCTTTTTGGCAACGTTTCGACAAGCTCTCTAACTTGTCATCATCGGGCCCCTACTTTCAGTTTAGAAGCTGCCAAAGCTTCTAAATCTCTCAATGGGCAGGAGAGTGCTTGCTGGCTGCCTGAAAAAAGCCTAGAAACTAGTGGATTGTGATTTCACTGAACTAGGGTTGCATAAAAATCTTGGTTTACGTAGGAAGAAACTGGCTAAAGAAAAATACACACACACACATGCACGCACTCACACACACACATATACGCACGCGCGCGCACACACACACACACACACACACACATATACATGGCTTAGGACCTGGTTATCTACGGGACCGCCTGCTACCACCAATAGCCTCCCACCGGTCAGTACGCTCCCATAGAGAGGGGCTCCTGCGGGTGCCGTCGGCCAAACAATGTCAACTGGCGGCCTCTAGGGGGAGAGCCTTCTCTGTGGGGGCACCTACGATCTGGAACGAGCTCCCCCCGGAGATACGGAGGATCCCGGATCTGCTCACCTTCCATCGCGCGCTTAAGACTTTCCTATTCCATCAAGCTGGCCTGGCCTAAATCTTCTCCCCTTTTTAAATGAAAATTTTTAAATGTAAATTTTAAATTTGTTTTAAATTATGGGGTATTTTAATTCAGCCAAATTATTTAATTCATTTTTAATTCATTTTAAATTTTTGTATTTATGTTGTTTTATCTCGTGGCTGTTCACCCCCCTGAGTCCTGTGGGAGAAGGGCGGTATAGAAATTTAATAAAATATAAATAAATAAAATATAAATATATAATTAGAATATATATTTTTCTTGATTATATTTGTCCTTACAATGTGGATTTTGGAATCATTTCTAAAACTGGATTTTGGAATCATTTCTAAAACTTCTCCAGTTAGAAGATATGCTGCTTCTCTTTTCTTAGATCCCATCCAATTCTGCACTAAAAATGATAATTGAGCAAATTTCTCCTTTCATTTATCAGGATCCTCAAAAAATTCTGTAACCATTAAGGCTGGATATTTTTTATGTTTTAAAATATTCTGTAATCTAAACAAGCTGGCATTAAATAAGTCTATTTTTCCTCTAACTAAACTGCAATGTCTGCAACTACTAAATTAATACTACTATAATTTTGGTTGATAACAATTACAAAGACATTAGCTACAATATTTAAATAACCAAAAGGTAAAACTCTAATATGATTGCTAAACACACCCACTTTATAAGCTTTTGACTGCTGCTTCATTATTTGACACTATTGTGCCTTTTCTTGGGGAATATTAAAAGGCTATATAATAAATTGGAATATAAATCATTTTCACACAACATTTAGTTCCCCCTATGACAAAAATAAATAAATGACCTAGCAAGGGACCAAACTCAGACTCCTGATGGCTGCTGGCATCCAACCAACTTAACGCATGGAAAGACTGAGATTCCATAAATACAGAAGCTGCAAGTCTACAGTTTAGGAAACAGTCATTACAAAGCCCAAAAGAAGGAGAAATTGACATTTTTCAGACACCCACTATGAGGAGCAAAAGCTAAACAGGCTACATCTGGAAAAAGCTTAAGAGAAATAAAATATTTTGAACCTAAATTCCACCAAGAGCTACTTGTTTCTTCCATCCTTTCTTCACATACACACCCGGCACAATTTAAGTACCTTTGAAACATCTTTCAGTTGAAGACAAGACTTAAAGGACTGCTTTAATTTTCTCACCAAATCAATGGGCTTAAAAGCGTTTAAACATAGATTGGATTGTGCCAGAAATTATTAAGTAATTGATAAAAATACAAAGTTGGCTGCATTTCCCAGCGTCAAGCTTGACACATGCTGCTCTGTTTGCAGCATATTTAGTACATAAGGTGTTAATCCTTCTGGGGCTGTTGCTTAAAAAATTACTTAACATTCAAGCCATTACTTAGCATACAGCTGGTTAGCAGTTTTCCACTAAAGTACTGGCTTTGAGCCCACATATTTTTATTCTGGCACATACCTGGAGCTGTAAAGGGCTGAGTCCAGAAGCAGCAGCAGCTGCCATTGTTGATGGAATGAACTGCACAGGATAGTTATCACCTGTCAAGAAGAACAATGCACACAGGTTTAGACAATGAGCAGAGAACAGCAGCATGCAAGTACAAACAGGGCCTGAGCTCCACAACACCGCTTTAAGCCTAAACATCTGCAAAAACAAAAGGGGATTGTTGGGCACAGACTTGCACTTCTGCCTTGGAAGTTCTGCTCAGCAGATCGCTAGTAGGCAAACTGGCAAAACATAAAATGCAATGCTGAGACCTAAGCATGCTCACACTTATTAAAGCTCACGTAGCAGCACTGAAAAATAATTGCGTGTTTAGAAATTTTTCAAATGATCCTTGACACAAAGCAATGCACAAAGGCATTGCAGCTTGGGAGCATCAATTCCATTTAAAACGTCTTTAGCTGCACTTATTTGGACTAACAGATCAGTTAGAGGATGTTACCTATTTTCAATAAATTATTATGCACAGCAGTATATTCTTCGAAGGAATGTTATTTGGATCTTTTCAACTTATCTCTTTCCTGGTGTGCATGAGCTCAGATAGGCAATTTCCAGTTCTAGGCATTATGGCGTAATTTTGTCTGATGATGCTAGGGTTCACTCACACACATACACAAACACAGACAAATCATTTTTAAAAATATTTACAGTTCCTATGTAAACAGCCTATGACTGATTTTTTTTTTTTTGATATATTATTTTGTTATATTCCTGTATAAAGGCAAAATATGTTCATGCTTCGAAGCAAAATATCTGAAATTTAAATTGATACATTCAACAATACAATAAATCCTGGACTGTAAAAAGGATAAACATCTCATTTTCTCCATATTCAACTGGGAGCGATCCCATAGAAAATCAAGTCACAAGGAACACTTTTCATTTTCTAGAATCTAGATTCTGGAATCCAAATCCATTACAGATTTGGTTAAAATTTTAGAAATTATATGATGTGAGCAAAATTTCTCTCAAACAGGCCTCCTGTGTTGGTTTTCTTGACTTCTTACCTCTGATTTCCTACCAGTTTCTCCGCTTCCACAAGCTAAACTCTCTTATCTTGGAAACTGAAAGAAGCAGGTCACTCTCAATACACAAAATATAGTTTTTCAGCAGGCCAAATTGTTACTTCTGCTCCTTTATCCTCTAGACAAAAGGGTATTGTTTTGGGTTTTACCTTGGGCCAAGCCAAGAGAGGATCACCTATCCTGCCCTCTCCCGTCAATGAAAGACTATAGCTGTAGGCCAGTGAAACTCTTTACCCTATTAATGTAGATTGTGGAACTGTACTGTCAGATTTGTTCATAATATCCTCTGTTGTTCCATAAACCTTTCTTCGGTTATCAACGGCAATACTGTTATATTGATTATCCATTCTCTGGTTGTACTGTATGTTAGATATAGGGATTATTTAACTCCAAGTATTTTAGTGTTCAATAGTGCTATAAAGTATTACGATAGAGTTGCTCCTAAAATAAGAAATGTCTAGTATAGGAATCTGTAGCCTGTGTGAATAGAATTACTCAATATCCTTTCACATTATAACTACAACTTGCATCGCTTCACTAAAGCTGGAAGTGGAAAGAGGAGTGGAAAATGAAAAGAGGAGTAAGAATATAAAATATGTAACAGTAAATATATGATTAGATATAAATATATGATTAGATATAAAATATATATTAAGTGATTGATATATTGCACAATAATCATACTTCAACAATGCTTTCTCATTTAAAATCAGTGTTACAAACTATCTCCAGGCTATATTTTAATAAGCTATTCCTCTTCCATTTTTAAAAGTTTTATAATAATATACTTGTTTTGCATAAACTTTTTTTCACATTACACACAAAATTAATAACATAGGTGTGGTATAGAAGATTTAAGATAATGCAACTTCGGAATGGCGAATTCCCCCATGCACATACATCAAGTTCTCAACCCCAGTTCAATTCTCAACTATACCATAAATTCCCGAAAGCAATAAAGCAGTAAAGAAAATATTCTCTCTTCAGCTTGCCATCCAAAGAGCAGCCACACTTCAGACAAGCTCAGTGTAAATGTTAAGTTGCTTTCACTTTTTAAACAAATGGTGAGGTTCTAATCCACAAGGTCTCTCTGCATCATATCCATAATACCTCATCAGATCATTGAGCACAGTATGTGCTTGTACACAGTCCACTAACAATTGGCTTCTGATTGCATACAGAGCGCGTTGCTACAATGGCTTTCCTAACCTACATTGTGCTGGTGTCCTAGGGAGTTTATAACATTCATAAAATCTAATCTTATTCCCTCTTTTCTATGAGGTTGATTTTTGCCTGCAGTAGGTTCAAAAAACAACAACAACTAAACTAAACCAAATTGTTTCTTCATGGTATAAAACCCTTGTCTTTTTACGGTTAGATCATTCTGCTTATCTTCTTTGAAAACGAAACAATATTTTCTGAATATAAAGCATCCTCATCAAAAGTTAAATAATGTTTCTTTGGCAATAAGCATTTTGAAAAAGAAACTGTCATGAAAATGTTGAATTAAATTTCCATTGCTTTAAATGGGAAAACAATAAGCATTTAACTCTGCACAGGGTGTGCATTACCAAACATTTTCAAGGCAATCTTTCTTTAAATATAATGAATAATTCATTCCCTTTCCATACAATCCTCTCCCCTCTCTCTCTTTCTCTCTCTCTCTCTCTCTCTCTTTTTCTAACTTCAATATCACTTGCTTTTATTTGTATTAATACATATTAAAGCATTTCCTATCGTGTGTGTATATATATATCTTCTCCCTATTGGCACTCCTTCTTCATAGCTGTCATGCTTCCAAGGTTTGAAGTAGCTTGGAGTATGTCTGTGTGAAAGTGTGTGTTATTAGGGTCCCTGCCATAGCTGATAGTGTTCTTTGGCTCACCTGCTATAGTTTTGCCTTATGCCGATGGCAGCTTAATTTCATTACTCTGTATGTCTTCCACTCCTCCCCAACCTTTTAAGCAGAAAGTTAGCCTTTCTAAGATTAAAACTGAGCATTCTAAAATGAGCAGTCCAGGGCTTCATATAATCCTACTGCATTATATAATAGTATTATTTGGAGAACAAAGCATGACACTTCATACCAATGGAATGTTTTGCTGACAACAGTAAAACTGAAGCAGGTACATGTTCTTTGGAAGTAGGGGCTAACAACAAAGGAGGGGAGAAAGTTAAAGAAATAGAAGATGCATATTTTTTTTCCTAACAAAAATAATTGATCAATGTGTTTCTTAGTAGCTTTTTTAACAATCCATCGCTCAACATGTTGTAGCAATTTTTTTTTTCAAATTTGTTTTTGTATTTGGAACGCTTGGGTGAGGATCTATTCTTCTTTAATTTTATAAAGGCAGACAAAACAAGTCAGAACAAGTTCATTGTACATATAGATGCATGCTAGCTTTGATTAGTGGGAGAATGGTTGAACAGAGACAAAAAAAAAAACACCCTCCCACCCTTCATTCTTTATTTTGCAAACTAGTCTTCTAAGCTTATCTGTTGATTATATATTGGCTTTTTTATTGTGTTTATACACATTAGTCACTCTAAGATCCAAAATGATGCATCAACTTCTGTTTCACTTGTCAGTATACACAATACTTATTAAAAAGATGGAGGCAGCAAATGCTTTCAGTCCTTTGATCTGAATTCCAAACAAACAGTGTTTCTTTGTTTTCTTCCACAGTCTCAAAATCTGTATGCAATTCAAAACTTTCAAGTACACTTTTCAGAAGGTACATACTTCCATAGTTAAGTCACTGTATCATCTATAGCAATGTTTCTCAACCGTAGCCATTTTAAGATGTGTGGACTTCAATACCCAGAATACCCCCGCAGTGCTGCCTGAGGAATTCTGGAAGGAAGTCCACATATCTTAAAATGGCTACGGTTGAGAAACACGGATCTACAGATCATCTCGTAACATAATGAATCTGAACTGAATCTTGTTTGTTAGACATTTTCTAAGGAAATGAAGCTATATTACTGCAAAGGGAGTCCTAGTAGTATAAGTAGTTTGCAATCATAATATAAGATTCAGTCTGCTCAAATCCAAAGTCCTCCATAAAGCAACACAAGTTTACAAATTTGACCCAGACTGTGATTTTAGACTATAAAGAACTCTTAACTCCTTTGACCGCTCGTTTTCTCAGTATACGTCAGGGGTCTCAAGCTCACATCGTCATGTTGTCATCACCTGATGTTTTACAACTTTTTTCCCCTTCGCTAAACCGGCCGTGGCCGTGGCCAGCACATGACACATCCAGCCCGTGGGCTGCGTGTTTGACAGCCCTGGTATAGGTAGTCCTCAATTTACGTCCACAATCGGGACTAGACTTTCCATTGCTAAGCAAGGTGGTTACTAAGTAAGTCATGCCCAATTTTACTACTTGTTCTGCCATGATTGTTAAGCAAATCATTGTAATTGTTAAATGAATCATGAAATCAATAAGCAAATGCAGCCTTCCTCCATTGAGGAAATTTGCTTGTTGAAAGCTGGCTGGGAAAATTGCAAATGGCCAACACATGACCTCAGGATGCTGCATTCGTCATAAATACATGCTGGTTGCCAAGTGGCCAGATTTTGAGCACAAGATCGTGGGTATATTGTGATGGTTGATCGTGCAAGGGCTGGTTGTAATTCTCATTTTCTCATGCTTTTGTAACTGTAAACGGTTGCTAAACGAATAGATGTTAAATCGGGGATTACTTGTAGGATCTATCAAAAACTTCTAGCTAAAAAGAAAGATTCATTGGGCATTGCTATCAGAAATGGTAGCATGAAATAATTTGCTTATAGCTCATTCAATATAGTTTAATAAAGTTACAATTTATATAATTCAGACTTACAAAAATGAAGTTTATAGATGAAGTCATGTTGGAAAGAATCTTATTTTTAAAAAAAATAGTTTACAACTGTGTAAGATACATCAATAATAATCTCTCCATATTACAAATGTGAAAAACAGAAAGCTTTAGATAGCCCCTAAAATAATATTTATATGACTGTT